GTGGACTGAGACTGTTTTAATTACACTCTGAATTGTCCTGCGTGGACCGAGACTGTTTGGGCAGCACAGTGGTTGTTAACAATGAAGCCGAGGGGCTGGAGCTCAGCAACTAGAGCTCTTTTTGATTTTTTTTTGGTTTTGGTTTTTTGGTTTTTAGAGACAGGGTTTCTCTGTGTAGCCCTGGCTGTCCTGGAACTCACTCTGTAGACCAGGCTGGCCTTGAACTCAGAAATCCGCCTGCCTCTGCCTCCCAAGTGCTGGGATTAAAGGCGTGCGCCACCACTGCCCTCCTCAGTTAGAGCTCTTGTTGCAGAGAACTAAGCTTCAATTCCAGGACTCGTGTGGTTCCAAACCAGCAGTTCCAGTCCACAAACATGCAGGCAGAGCATGTATACGTGTACAATGAACCTGTAAGAAAAGATGCTTTGATGGAGGCCAGTGCTGTGCTTCCGAGCCACTCAGTTCAGGCCTGCCCCTTGTCCACTCTGGGGTAACAGCAGGGTCTAGGGCTCCCCTGAGCTCTGGGAGCCAGCAGTGTGCTAGGTTCCTGTGGTCCACAGCCCTGTGGGTCTGCATGTTTACTCACCACATTATGAGAACCCTGCTTTGCCCCTGAGCATTCCAGACTGGGACACTGGTGAGATCCATGTGGGAGCATGATCGCAGACTAGGTGGGAGGGCTGCAGTGGAGGAAGATGGGCTGTTGCCAATGTCCCTGAGAAGGGACACAAAGGGCGAACCAGGCTGCCATTGTAGGGGAAGTGTCTGTGGTTGGAGGCCCTAATGGAGTGTGGAAGGAAGGTCAGGATAGGAGTATCGAAAGCGTTCGGCCACTTTTTAGCTGCCTCTCTCTCCCATTCCCCACCCCAGATGGACCTCCTTCCCTGGGCAGGCCTTGACATCGCAGGCTCTCTGTGTGCTCTGTGCTGCCCTGGGCCCTGGAGCTGAGGAGCTGACTTCCAACAGGAGCTCCAATTTGATCCGTCCCTCAGCTGCTGCGTCAGGTGCCAGCTCTGTAGTGGGATCCTGTCAGAACTGTCCCTGAGGCTTTTGCGTGACACGTGAGGCAGCTCTCCTGGGACCAAAAAGGCCCAGTTTTGGGGTGTTTGCTGTGTGGCATCCCTGATTCCAGAACCTTCCTGCTTTGTGTCCCCTGGTCCAGGTCTCAGAACCAGCCATTTCTGACTTAAACTTGGGGTTAAAAGCATTGGATTTCCAACCTAGACATTAAATCAGGAGCAGCCAGGGTTTTGCCATGGCGGATGGTAGGAAGTGGGTTTGATGAGTGATGGCAGACAGCATGTTTCCGTTTGTTCTCTGCAACTCACAGCAGTGGGTAATAGTCAGCCTTCACACAGCGGCCCCTCAGATGACCCTTGGTCTTTGAAGACATGTTGCCGGTTTCTTCTTTCCCACTTGCCTTGCAGCCCTGCTCTCAGTGGACATTGAGGAGAGGGCAGAGGTACAGCAAGGCCTGGGGTGATTAGTCTTGTTTTTAGACCCTGAGCTGGTGACAGGCCCAGGATGTGGTTGGCATAGGGTGTGGTCACCATTGGCAGATGCTCACAGGTAACAGCCTTACAACTGTGTCAGGCCTCCTGTCGCTGATCACCTGGCTCTTCCCTCCCTCCCTCCTTCCCAGAAATGGCCACGTCCTGCACTGAAACACCCTGTGTAAGTATGAAGCTAAATGTGGAATGGAACTTTCTGGTACTTCTTAACAGAATAGCCCACTGTCTTCATTGTTGTCTCTTTCTCTCTGGCTGTCTCAATGCGTCCTGCAGGGCCTGTCTTGAAGCTAGGACATTAGATATGTGTTGTAGGGCCCTGCAGCCAGCACTGGTCCCTGAGAGTAGATCCTGTGACCCACATGGACTGTCCCAGAAGACCACCATGCTTAAAGATAGGATAAGAATTCTGATAATGGTCACATATCAGTCAGAAATGGTAGTATCCAGGAGCCCGCTTTAACCAAAGGCCCCACAGGCCAACACTGTGGCTGGCAGTCATGTCATGGATAGGAATGGTACTACGTGCCAAGCAGTAGCCTCAGCACCGGGTCTACTGCCTTCCCATTCATGGTCCTCTGGAGGCCAGGCTCCCTTGTGTTCATTTATAAGAGCAGATCCAAGCATCCTGAGACCAGAAACTGCCAAGGGTGGAGAGAGGTAAAGTCAGGATTGGCAGCTCTGTGTAAAGGGTGGGTGGTGACAGAGCAGAGATGTCATATCCAGAAGCAGAAGCCAGTAAAGCACCATGTTCCCAAGGATGGGTGTGGTAGACGAGAGGAGTCACGTGGGTTTCTACAAGGGCAGTGACTGTGGACTAAAGTCATGATCACATGACCCCATGTCGGTGCTGGCAAGAGGTGTACCACAGTACAATCCTGACATGTTGTCCCACAACTCAGAAGACGAAACTTCAGCCTATGTTTGAGACCCATAGGGTTATAGAGCGAGCCTGACAGTCATGTGCTCCTGTCAGTCCAGCGTAAAGATTGTAAACCTCTGGACTCTCCTGTGGTGCTCAGAACATCAGTGTGGCAGCTGTGTGGCTAGTGGGCACCACCTTGCCCTAGAGGACAGGAAAGGTGGCAGGTTCAACCTCCCCCTGAAGCAGAACTGAGCAAGCTCGCCCAGAGCCTGACTGACTGATCTGCCCCTCCTGGCCTTGTGTTTGGTGGGCATGGACCTAGTGGCTGCTGTAATGTTGGAGCAGCAGTGAATGTCTGCTGTGAAGACAGATGACTCACCGACTAATGTGACACACACTAATAGTCTGTTGTAACCTCTCGTAGTGGCCGCTGCCTTGTTGCCTAACTCAGCATCTTAACTGTCCCCAGTAACATGGCTTCCCTCTGGCATGCCCTGCCCACATGGTGGCCGTGGGTGGAGACCAGGCTGCTGGGACACACGCTGCTGTGGTGACGCAGCAGCTCCCTGTCCTCCGCAGGCTGTGTCATCACCATCTCCGGACGCATGACCTTCACGAGCAATAAGTCCATGGAGATTGAGGTCCTGGTGGACGCTGACCCTGTGGTGGACAACTCACAGAAGCGTTACCGGGCCGCCAGTGCCTTCTTCACCTACGTGTCCCTAAACCAGGAGGGCAAGCCGCTGCCTGTGCCTCAGCTTGTGGTAAGTGTCCTCGAGAGTACCATCCCGTCCTAAACAAGGCATGACCCAGACCTGTGACCATGGGCTGTGCCCGGGTACAGTCAAGTCTCTAGAAGGGGTGCTGTAAGCTACAGGCTGTAGGGTGGGCAGATGGGTCAGGACGGACCTCTCTGAGCTTGTCACCATCACCGGCTCCTTATGATAGCACAGTGCCCGGGTTCCTGGGGTTGTGTATACATGCTGGGGTGTGCTCTTGTCTTCTCTAGCTCATCAGGGGACTAGGAGAGCTGAGGTTGGAGGACTGAGGCGTGGGCCCTCCCAATGTGACTTTGGGCTTTTGTGTCACCCGGTGAAAAGCAAGCTTCAGTTCTGTGCTACTGGGGCTCTTGCAGATGGGGAAGGAGTAGCCCACATGTCAGCTGTGTGACCTTAGGCAGGACGTGAGGAGACTAGAAAGTCCTGGCCAGCAGTAACAAGGAAGGATTTGGCCAAACAGAGGCCTGGGGTGGGAAGCAGGGAGAAGCCGTCTAAGGAGGCTGTGCAAGGGCAGGCAGGCTCATACAGGAGCAGATTAAAAACAAACAAAAACAGGGCCATGTCCAAGGGTTTTCTAAACGGCTGAGGGGTTCGGGTCTCCAGGATTACTCAAATGGGCACAAGATGAGGGGTAGCTCCAGAGCTAGTGGATGGTCTGCATCTTGATGCATCTGGAAGTAGAGAGGGCTGGTGCTGCTGTGGGCGTGCTCTCAGCACTCTACAAGAAACCATGAGTCCTCCTTCCCAGCTACATGGTCAGGTGCATCTTTTTTGAGTGCCCAACAGTGAGGCTAGGGTGGGCTCTGCAAGGTTGGGTCATGTACCCTGTGTACCTTGCAGTCAGGTTCCTGGCCCATGACCTTCACTGAAGCAGTAGAAAGTGCATCCCGAGGAGTGCACAGGAGGAACAATGCTCGGAGAGGAGGCAGCTAGACGTGGAGCACTGCAGGGGGTGGGAGAGAGGGATAGGTGTCTGTCCCCAGCCTTGAGATTCTGCCCTCGGTGGTGTCCTGTGGGTCCAGGCTGTTACTTTGCACTTGTTGAAGATGCTCCTTTGATGCTTTTTGGTTCTTTACTGAGGTGAGCAGGAGTAGTCAGCACGGAGGGTGGCGAAGACTTCCTAGAGAAGGATTCTGCTAGGCTTGGGTGTGCTTGGGAACCAGCCACACAAGCACAAATCCTGGATCTGGGTACACACGTGAACTGCACCCAGCTACACGAGGGTGCATGATGCCCCTCCTGCTCCCGCCTGCCCCCCGCCCCCGTTACCAGCCATCTTCAAGCTCCTGTCTATTTTTAGCTCCCTCCCCAGGGCCCTGCTGACATGGAATGCAGCCTTGTTTGCTTCTGTGGAGGTGTTTCCTGATGTGGGGAGCGCTTGTGTGCCAGGATGCCTGCAGTTGCTGCCATACCCAGGCTGACTGTTACACTGGCCGCCTGTGCAGGAAGCATGGCCCACACCTGCCACCCACGCTCCCTGGAGCAGTGCCCTTTAACCTTGGAATGGGATGAGCCACAGGCTTCTGTCGGAGCTATGGATAGTGGGGAGGGTGGTAGGAGAGCAGCCTCCTGTGGTTCAGGACCTGTGGCTCCCGGGGACTCAGTACTGTGTCATTTTTTTTTTCTTTTCTTTTTGGCCAGGGTAAGAGAAGTGCTTTGAGGGAGGTAAGATCCATATGCAGTCAGTGTTGGGCTGGGGATCCCTCCGGCCCCTGTGAGGGCAGAACTTGCCCCAGTTAGACTCAAGGGCTCCAACAAGCACTCTGTAATGGGAGGTGCCCAGCCTGGGTCTCAGGATGTAGGGAACTCACAAAGAGGATTTGATTTATACATTCTCATAAAATCTGGATCCAATTGCAGAGACTCGGCTGCCCTGTCATGCCCGGTCGTATGCACCTTATGAACGGCACACAGGCAGGTGGGCCAGACCCTGCCTCAGTCCGTAGCCCTCTGGTGATAGGGAGCACGTGGTCCAGGTTCAAATGAGGCAGTGAAGGAATCAGGGCTGTGGCCAGCTTTCTTCTCCTTCCCAAAGTGAGGCTTGCTCATAGCCAGAGGATCTCAACCAAGGACCAGTGAAAGGTGACGGTTTTATCTACTCGGCCCAGTGCACCAGTGATGGCCAGGTTTGCCATGAGCCCTGATGTCAGAATACCTGAGGGAAGCACCTGCTCCTTTCTTCTTGGGGACTGGGCTTCTGATTTTATGTGCATCGTTCCTTGGTACCTTGGCTCTGTCACTGCAGGCCTCTAGAAGGCAGAGCATTGTGACACAGGGTGTGGTAAAACAGACTTGCTTCTCACTGTAGCTAAAAAGCAGAGAAATCAAGGGACTGTCCATGGGCGGACTCCCTGTGACCCATGTCTTCCAAGTGAATCCATCGTTCAAAGATGCCACCAGAAAGAGACCACATGTCCTCCCTGCAGTGGTTTTCACCGCTGTCCTCAGCAGGGTTGCCGCTGCTTAGGAGACGATGAACACCTAGGCCAGCACCTTGCCACCGTCATCCTCTGCCTCTGGGAAAGGTGACCATGGGGGTCTGAGGATTGGAAGGGGCAGGTGGTTAGGGTCTTTGGTGGCCACCGAAACATGTCCTCGTGTGTGGCACAGATGGAGTTAGGAGATGCCGTTCATTCTCATCGTGACAGGAAGACCATGAGGGAGGGCTGGACAGTGACTTCCCAGGACTTTGGCACTGGCAGGCCAGGAAAGAGGGCCTCATCTCCTCTCTGTGCAGCCTTTGAATCAGACCTGCTGATTGGGCCCTGGGCTGCTGGCCTCCATTTAGGTTCTGGCTCAAGTGTCTGCAGTGTGACTGAGAAACACCTGCTTTGCTGGGCCTGCTCCTTGCAGGGGACTCTTCATCAGCCCAGATGATTAGAGAACCAGGTTGGTCTTTGGTTCACATTGTGACCACACTGTACCAGCTGGTACTGGACCTGAGTAGATATTTGCTCCCGTGGCCCCTGATTTTTCCACAGAGGAGGAAACACAATTTCTTTCTAATCTGTTTCTCTGGGCTCTGAGAGCCTGGGGCAGAGAAGGTGGTTACAGTTCTTGGCTCAGCCGTACAGAAGAGATAAACAGCCTGCTTCCAGGAAAGAGAGGAGGGGTCTCACAGACTCTTATCCCAGGTAAGGGGAACAGGGACTCTGATCTCTGTATGGACGCCTCTGTCTATGGGCTCCTGCAGGCCATGTTCAAGCCCAGAGAATTCACCATGCATGGGACCATTGCACGTTTGTGCTGGGACACTGTCACTGTCTTTGAAATCTGAGGCCTTGTGCCTGTCTCCTCCTTTCATTTGGCCAGAGTGTACTTCTCAGTGGCCTTTGACCAAAGCAGGAAGTACAGAAGCTTGATATATGTATTCCAAGAAGGCGTGGGTACTGCCCAGCCTCAGGGGGCTGCCCAGCTGAGAGGATACCTCCTCCTCTCCAGGCCTGCCTCTGCCTCCACCCAATCTCTTCACCTGCCTCTTTGCCCTCCAAGCTACAGGTGTCTCTTGAGGACCCTTAGGGCCAGATTGCCATACGCAGTGTGCACAGAATAGTCAGCCTGGCTGTCTGCTGAGCCTCCCTGTCTTTCCCCCAGGAGGATTACCAAAAGGCTCCACAAGGGCCAGTCCAGTGGAGTAAGTTGGAATAAGGGTGTCACTCCATTCATGATCCACAAGAGGCCACAGAGCAATGAGGTCACAAGGACACCACACTGATGGGGTGAGCCCTGCCAGCCCAGCGGCCAGGAGGGCCATACGAGGAGACTCACAAGTCACTGTTCCTAAGGCAAGGGGAAGAGAGTGTCACAGCCCACTGAATCCACTGTCATAGAAGGGAAGTGTTAGGGGCAGGAGGCAAGATGAGGCCTGGTCTCCAAGACAGGTTTTGTGGTGGCCAGCTCTGGCCCCTGGTATATCCTGGGGCAGGGTACCTCCACCCACCACGCTTGAGACTGCAGCACAGCTAGTACTCCATATTAGAATGATGTGGCCAAAGCCCTCAGACCAGACACCCCCGAGGCCGTGTGCAAAGGATCAGAGAGAGTCTTGGGAGCTTGCTGTGGGGGAGGGAGGATTCGAGGAGGCCTCCCACTCATCCGTGTGTACACAGCATAGAGTCAATAAGACACACTGCTGCCAGCAGAAAGGCTGAGCTTTGGGGCAGTTCCCTGGCACTGAGTGCAGCAGCTACACCCAGTCATGTCTCTGTCATCATTGCTGGCTCTGCCAGCCTGCTGCAGTTGATTGGCAAGTGGTACAAACCATCATTTTTGGATCTGGACAAGAAGGCCATCCACACCTGTGTAGATTCTGGCTTCCTTGGTTCCTTGCTGCTGCTGTTCAAGGTTTCTTTTATGTGTATGAGTGGTCTATCTGCATGTACACCATATGCCAGAAATGGGCATCGGATCCCATTAGACTTGGTTGTGAGCCACCATGTGGGTGCTGGGGATTGAACTCAAGGACCTCTGGAAGAGCAGCCTGTGCTCTTGACTGATGAGCAATCTCTCCAGCCTAGGGCTTTGTTGTTTGGATCAAGTGTGATTCATTCTGCTGGTCCAGGTCCAGTTGTCACTTCTATCAGGGTAAAAAGGACTGGATCAGAGCCGCTCTGGTGGGGGCCTGGCCAGTGACCCTGCCCTTATTGCTGTGTAGACAACTAACATGGGAGCTGCAGTCATGGCTGCATGTCCCTGGGAGACGCCCTCTCAAGGCTGCCCCTCCCTTTACACAGCTAATCCTCTGCCTCTGCCAAGAGCCTTCTGGTGCCCTTTATATAGGGACTTTCTCAGCCATGTGGGAACACTGTATGCTAGGTGTGAGCCCATCCCTGCAGGTAGGAGGAGCCCCTGATGAGGGTGTTGATGAGATTTCTACCAGGGACCCTAGATAGCACAGGGAAGAATTGACCGAGCCAGCTGTTGAGGCAGTAGTGGGCATTCTGCCTCCAGGTGCCAGGCCCAGCCCTGCTGAGGTCACATTCTCAGGCAGAGCTTGGCTGTTCTCTCTTCTTCCCTCCCCCTGGGGAGACAGTGAGTCCTGTGCCGAATCTCACTGTCTGGGCTGATGGCCGGCACACTGTGCTCCCCACAGACTACACTAATCAGAAGAGTTTTCACTGATGCCATGAGTGTCTGAGACCCCTCTTGTGGAACATGGGAGAGAGCGCACTGTGTGACTTCCTAATTAAGGTCTGTGTCCCTCAGGCTACCAGGAAGGTGTTCATCTCCACTGGATACACCTCCTTTAGCTGGCACTCACTAATTACAAAAAGGACAAGCTATTGATTGTGCAGAGGGTAGGGCTCAGCTGCCCATCCTCTGTGCTGTGTTCCAAATGTGTGTTCTTGAAGCACAGAAAATGCAGAGTGGAAACACTTGGCTTGCAGCGTGAGGCTCTGAAAGCCACAGGCTTTCCTCCAGTGGAAGCAGGCCCAGAAGACGACACTTGGCAGGCTGGGTGCAGGAGATGCAGATTGGGGCTAGAGCTGCCAGGCAGGGAGAAGGGCTTGGCATCCAGTGCCAGGCAGAGCCTGAGCATCCAGAAGGCACTGTACCTTTAACCTATAGCTGGGATGTCACCCTTGGCCTTATGTTCCTCTAAGTGACCCCCAGGCTGTTTGACTCTCCTCCCAGGCCACTGCCTGGGCGAACAAATGCACAGCAGAGGCAAGCACTCCTTGAGCGCCCAGCAGCCCCAGAGTGCATATGACCTCAGGGCATCTGCGAAGACAGACAGTGACTGATGGTCATGGCTGTGAGCATGTGTGAGGGACACATGTGCTAGGCCACACAGGGAACACCACGAGTATCCCGCTGGATTATTTCATGGTGAGGGAGCCTGACAGTAGTCCATGAGTGGGAGACTTCAGGCCAGTGGACCCAGACTCGTGCCCTGTCAGCCTCTCCTCTCTCCCTCTAGGGCGGTACCTTCCGTCCCATACACCCCAAGCCGACACAGTCCCTTTGCTTCACCCTTACTTTTTTGAGGCCTGAGGAACCTACGTGTGGCTGCAAGGCGGCCAGTCAAGCAGCCAAGAGCTACCCAGCTCCTTTCTTCCTAGCGACAGCCTTAGGTCTCCCATGGAAAAGCTTTGGCCTTCTCCCCACCTCCCTAGCTCCATGAGAAATGTGCACCGTATGTGTTTATTTACTTTGTCATGGAGGGGTTGGGCTGCAGGAAGTGGCAGCTGGGCCATGGTGAGGGCTGTGCACAGGGAGCCATCTGTCTCATTCTGTCAGCTCCAGACCCAGCAGGGATGTGGCAGCTCAGTCACTGGCCAGGAAAGCCTGCCTGCCTCTGCTGTCTCCTGCAGCTGGCTCTCTGGCTTCTGCTGCCCTGATAGGACCTCCAGGAAAGAGAAGCCTTTGTCATTTTGAGATGACAGTGAAGCAGAGTTTGATTCCTTGGCCAGCTTGGATTCCTGTCTCTGAGCACAGGCTCCTGAGAGCCAGCCAGAGTCCCTACGATAGAGTGATGAGGCCATCAGTTGGCACATTCCTCATGGGTCCTCACAGCCGTGGCCATGCTGTCCTGGCCACCCGCCCACACATCCATCACCAGGCAGCGTTCACTTTAGTCGAGGGCAGATCCTGGTGATGAGGTCACTGCAGACATTGAACTTCAGAGACACATGAGAGCAGCCTCCAGGCTCAGTGCCAGGCCCCAGCCTCACCCTCCGCCCTGAGCTGACCGCTACAATTTCCTACACTTTGGCTCAGGCCTCCTTGGGTCCTTCCATCAGTGCCTGAGTGACACAAACGTCCTGTGCCGTGAGGCACACATACTGGAGTTACTAAGGCCTGTTTGCTGCTAAGACTGTGGCGGTGTGACATAGAATTGCTCAGGCAGTCTCTGTCACGGCTGGCCGTGCCACCTTGCTCACCTTCCCTGTTCCTGCCCTGATGACCCCCTCATCACACACACACACACACACACACACACACACACAAGCACACATATACACGCCATCTCTCCCAAACCTCACTGTCTAGGAGGAAGGTTCCTCACGTATGCGGGGAGTGTGAGGAGATGGTCCAGGGTCTGGCTTTCCCTGCTATGTTGTGATGTCATAGACTAGGGAACTTGTAACCGACAGAACACAGTATCCCCTGGGTTGTGGAGGCCTCAAGAGCACGTGAGGCAGGCTGACCAGCACAAAGCATGGTGCCAACAATTGATCAACGATGCTGGAACAAACCAGTGTGGGAAAGCCTCAGTTCAACTGGGTGAGCACATGGGCTTTACTTTGAGATTTCAGTCTTAAGAGTCAATGAGCAGTTTTCTGTGAGAGATCACTATGTGTGCAGGTGCTCATGCCCAGGTGCCCTGGCCAGCAGAGAAGCAGTGCTTAGCAAGGGAGTTTCTCTGCAGTTTTTATTTGGACCCTTTGTCTTCTGGGGGAGCCTTTCTCGGTGTGTAGTGTAACCCTGATTAAACTTTCATATGGCCGGGCAGTGGTGGTCCACACCTTTAATCCCAGCACTCTGGAGGCTGAGGCAGACAGATCTCTGAGTTCTAGGCCAGTCTTGTCTACACTGCAAGTTGCAGGGCAGCCAGGGCTACACAGAGAAACCCTATGTTGAAATACAAAAGATTCCGTTTCTGTGTATGCACCTAAGACTCTGCAGTCAGGAACCAGAGCCGCTATGGGAAGCGTGTCGGTGTCTTTAAATACCTCATTGGCAACTCATTGGCTCCTGGCTGGCACAGCCTGGACAGTGTACACCTGGTGACATTTAGGGAGCAATTTGGGGGAAGGCTGGCAGAAGGAAATATTTGCTGTGACTTGACATTAAGTCCTCTGGCTGGTGCTTCTCCTTTGCCGATGTACTGCGTGTCTGAAGGCATGTATGGCTAAAATTAGCTGCCAGGACTTGGTGTCGTCCTGGATGAAGGGCACCTGCTCCATGTCCTTGGCTTCAGATACCCTCTTATTGTCACAGCGAGATGCTTCCCAGCAGAATCAGCACGGCTCATTAGACCCCTCAAAAGTGACCCTCCCACTGCTACCATTACATCTGCCCAGGAGTCATAGTGAAGCCAGGCCATCCCTAAACATGAAGTCCCGGCAGGCCATAGGTGCCATTAGGACCGTCCCCCAGCAAGCCCAGCCTACCGTGGAATCCCTCTGTTCAGTTGCTCATGCCCGCTGATACTGTGATCCTCAGGTGCCACTGCCTGAGGATCTCACAGTCCAGGCCAAGGTGGCCCCTCCCCACTGAGTGGGAGGGACTCTTGCTCCTAATGTAAGGCCTTTCTCAAGGCCATAGCCCACACAGCGTCCCTGCCTTCCCTTTGAAACAAGGTTGGACAGTTGTTCCCTGGAGTGGGGCAACCCCTTAACTCTTCATGACACTTGTCCTCCCCCCCCACACACACACACATACTTCCTAACCCCACAGTCCATCACCAGAGAGCTGGGGCTGGGATGTGTGGCAGACCAGTGCCTGGCACCCAGAAGGCCCTTGGCAGAGGTCCTTAGCACCTCCAGGGTCAGTGCAGCCATGAGCTCGCTGGTGTCTCTAATGCATCCTTTCTTGTGTGCCGCAGCCGGAGACAGAGGATGAGAAGAAGCGTTTTGAAGAAGGCAAAGGCCGCTATCTGCAGATGAAGGCAAAGCGACAGGGCCACACAGAGCCTCAGCCCTAGGTGTCGTTCTCCCGTCCTGGGTCAGCACAGTTGTGGCAATAGCCCCACCGTGTGCAGTCACTTAGAAGTTACCCCCTTGGCCAAACCCCTAATTTCCACTGAGAGCTGGTGTTGTGTGAAGTATTGTGTGGCAGTGTTACCTATGGCCCATTCCCAAAACCTGTGCACCAAAGCTTTATTTATATCCCCCCAGTAACTGCTCCCCAGTGTTGTCCCAAAGGCCATCATGGACACCAGAGCACACTGACTGGCCTGAAGAAGCCAGCACCACTAATAAAGCTGCTGCTGGCTGAACTCATGAAGCCTAGGTGGTCATTTGTCTGAGGGGGGAAGGGTCTCTTCTCTCACTGGAGTTCTGCCTCCTGTTTCCTGTGAGGCCACTGCCTCCCTCCCAGGCCCCGCCCCTCCCAGTACCAGCTCTGGAAACTGAGAGATGCACTCGGGGCCTTGTATCTTAGTGGGACCCCTGGGACCGCACTGCCCCTATGGCTTTCATGGGACGCTGCCTCAACCTTATAGGGGGATGCTTTCCCCTAACAAGGGCTTCTTATCCTTCTCCATACTTGAAGGCCTAAGCAGGCGATGGGCAGAGAGAGTCTGCACTGTCTGCTCTGAGCACCTGGAAAGAAGGCCCAGATGCCTCATCTGCTGGGGGAGGCACCCTGCAAATGGGATGAGAGCCTGGCTGTGTAACTGCAGGTCGTGTGTGTGTGTGTGTGTGTGTGTGTGTGTGTGATGGGGCATGTCTGATATACCGTATGCAAATGTAGTATGAGGCTAAGTGCACATGCATCTGTGTGCCGTATGCAGCAGTGGACATGAGATGTGGAACAGCTGTCTGCCATCAGGATGTATGTATGCTTGTGGTCCAGCTGCCTTGGGTGGGTGGGGTACAAGGAAGCCACCAAGGCCTTTCCAGGGGCCAGGACTCCACCCCCTGCCCACCAAACCACCAGAGGTGGTGCCTGGGTTTGTCCCTGAAGCCCAAACATCTGTCCTCCCACATGGAGAAGGCAAACTGTCCTGCCAACAGCTGCAGCCTACCATGCAGCTCCCTGAGGCCCTGGAGGAAGAACCCAGCCCCAGATGTGCAAATACACCCGCCAAGAGCTTCAGCTTTCGTAATCTGTCTCGGCCCAGGTCCCAGAAGACGGGGTGACTTCCTGCCTGGAAGTAGGAGAGGGGACCAGCTCTCCCACATGCAGCCACACCAAATCTGCGTGTCCCTCAGGTCCCTAGACGACTTTGGGATCTCCAGCCTATGCCACAAGGGCATCCTCGATGCAGAGACGAGGCCACGCTCAAGCCAGCAGAAAGCACAAACTGCCAAGACCCAGTCACTGCTTCCTAAGCAGGCCCTGGGCCCTGGACTCCCTGAGGCATGTCCTTTATAGACGCAGCATTAAAATGCCACACTTGATTACAACTGCCCTCTGCTGGCAATCTATTTATAACCATGACCCCCTAGATAGGAGCTGGACTGTCTACAAAGGGGCCCCTCTCAGAGCCCTGAGCACTCCTGGAAACCCTGGGGAGTGTGGGAGGGCACCCCTGGAGCCACTGGTGTTAACCCTTTCTCCATACAAACAAAGCTCTACTACTGACCCTGGCGCCCTAGGGTACAGCAGGTAAGCTACTGAGGTTGCAGAACACCGGGCGGCTATTGGATTATAATGTAGGTCCAGGAGAGGCTAAAGGACAGTCCTGTCCCACACAACCCTGGATGGCCTAGAAGACTGTGCCATTGTGTCTCCTGATGAGGAGCCAGGGGGTCACCTCCACCCTTTCTGACTGGAGAGGTCTCTAGGCCTCCCACGGAGAACAGGACATTTTCCTCCCCATAGGAGCAAGGAGGGGCGTGTGATGGTTACAAGCCTGTGTCCCACTAGAAATGTTAACTGAAGGAGGAAGGCTCCAGGAGGGGAGGAGGAGAGCCAGGAATCAGGCTTCAAATCCTGGCTTCTACCAATTCACTTGGTTGCTCAGAGCCTCAGAAGGGACAAGACCGAGTCGGTAGGGGAAGGCCAGTCACCCTGCAGCTCCCAGGTCCTTGCAGTGTTCCCGGCAGTGCCCAAGGCACGGGATAGTAAGTTGGAACCTTTGGCTGGCCCAGCTCTGCCTTCTACTCTTGATTCCTGACCCAGCAATCTGATTCCTAGAAGCCGCTAGATCTCAGGCGCACGCATCCTGTCTCTCGTCCTCAAGGATGCTAACCTCTGACGTGGCTTCCTCCCTGACTCCCCATATTCCCTGTTCTGTGCCCTCTATCTGCGTCCAAGCTCCCCTTTTCTCTGGCCTGCGAACCCCGCCCCTCAACTCCAGGCGGTTTAGAGGCGGCGGCCTGAGTGACCCAGACCCGAGGGGCCCAGGCGTGGGCGGGTCCTGTCGCGCGCTCCAAGGGGCATCACTGCGGCTGCTGGGGCTACGTGGCTGCTGGGAGTGGGGGGCCAGTGCGACGCGGCCAGGAAGGCGGGGCGCGGCCAGGGGGCGGCGCGGAGGCCCCGGCAGAGGCATGCGCCCTGGTCCGCCCCCCGCCCCCGGCCGCCCGAGCGCAGCCAGCTGAGCGGCGGGAGCCGAGCGCGGCCGCGGCGGAGGCGGCGCCCAGGGAAGGCGGCGGGGCCAAGCGCAGCGCAGCGCTCTGCCCATCCGCAGCCACCACCGCCAGGATGCCCCGGCCCGAGGGCCGCTCCCCCGCCAGCCACCCCCGCGGCCCCTGGCCGCGGGCGCTCAGTGCCGGGGCGCGGGAACCGCAGCCGGAGCCGGAGGCGGGAGCAGCGAGCCGGAGCCACGGGCGCCTCAATACCGGGTGAGCGCCGCCGCCCCGGCCCAGGGGCACGGAAAGGGAAATCCGGGCGGGAGGACTGGACGAGGAGGCTTTGAGAGCCCCTGGTGGGACGCGAGGTCCGTCGGAGTGGCCGTGGGCACCGTTTAGGGCCAGAACGCCCCACCACTACCAACTTGAGGACCTTCAGGGTAACTTCTCCGTGCCAGCCTCTCCCTAGACTCTCTGCTCCCGGCCTGACAGTGTAGTCCTAGGCGGCTCGCAGTGGCTATTTTGTAGGTCCCAAGCCGCCTCCCCTCCGTGCCCAGTGCAAACTGAGGGTGTGGGTTGAGGTACAGTACCAACCCCAAGCTGGCTCCCCAGGCCGTTGTTTGGACGCGCCCTCGGGGCTGGAACTGGAAGACCCACAAAGGCCAGGCCGACAGGGGTGCGCCTTTTAGGGACGGGTAAAGGAACGAACCGAGCCCCAGGAGACGGAGACCTATAAGTGGGGTGTGAAGGGGTGTGCACTGCGCCCTGTGCCGCCATCCAGCTGGGCTTTTGGAGACTCCTTGGCACACCAGAGGCCAGCTAGGAAGCGAAATCACGAAGTGTCGGTTCCTGAGAGACTGGTGGGCGCAGCCCGAGCCCGGGGAATCCTTTCAAGTTCTGGGTTCTCTTTGTTGCGCAATACAACCCTGGGGCTGCGCGGCCTCATTGGCCCATGGCCGTGACGTCAGGACTCGGCTCTACCCGCAGACCCCGAGGAGGGAGGAGGCTTCAAGGCCTGGGTGGGTCTCTAGATTGCCTTACCTGCTTTGTAACCTTCCTTGGGGACGGAGTTTTGGGAATCCTGATACGGAAGCATCCTCCTGGAAATGTTGGAGGTGCTTGGAATTTGAATCCGAAGGAGCTTGCTGGCTAGAGCAGCTGGTGGGACCCAGAGGGGTCTGGCCCCAGTGACTGCTGCTTCAAGATCTGTGGGTATCAACAGTGTCCCCCCCACAGCCTCTCCACCTAAGAGATCTGATGTCTGTACCCCCCTACACACACACACACACACACACACACACACACACACACACACACACACGCACGCACGCACTCCAGAACATTCCTCTCCTCCCACTTCCAGAATACAGCCTCCAGGATTGCTGGACCCTAGCATGGCCTGCCTTGGCTTTCCTCTTAACTGCTCTCGGCTTGGACGCGACCTTGTTGCCTAAGTATTATCTATCCAGCAGGGACAGGATGCACAGACAGACCTTGCTTTTAGGAACAGTGAAGTACCTTGTTGGGAACATTTTAGAAGGGCTTGAGAGACCAAGACTTTGGTGTTTGATGCGTGAAGTTTGACTCTTGGCTCGGGTACATAAAGATGTTGGCAGGTGATTTCAGCTCTCTCTGCCTCCACTGAGATGTCTAACTGTAATGGAAGTGGTAGCCCCGGCATCCATTACAAAACGCTGGGAGAAAGGTGCCTTCCTCCCTTACCCACCAGCAGTCCCCAGTCCTATACACCACTGAATTGAAACCTGGGTGAAGATCCTGAAACTCCATGCAATCTGTTAGCCTAGGGAAGTGCTGTCTGCTTGCCTGCCGTGCATCTGGCTTTGGCATCTGGTTCCACTCTAAGCTCATTGCCTGAAAGAGCGCATCAACTCTTTTCAAGAAAAGCTCTGTCATGCCCAATTTCTGGATTGGAAAACTGAGGTGTAGGGATCTCAAGTAACAAACAGGGAGCTGAGGCTGGACTCCAGCTTCCTGAGTCAAGTCCACAATGTTCTTTTTGGTTTTTTAGAGATTTATTTTTTTATTTATATGAATACACTGTAGCTGTCTTCAGACACACCAGAAGAGGGCATCGGGTCCCATTACAGATGGTTGTGAGCCACCATGTGGTTGTGTGGGTGCTGGGAATTGAACTCAGAACCTCTGGAAGAGCAGTCTGTGCTCTTAACTGCTGAGCCATCTCTCCGGCCCCACAATATTCTTGTAACCTCTAGTCTGCAGCTGAGGAGGCTGGCTAGACCTAGAAGCTGTTGGTGACGGGCACCCTCTGATAGAGCCACACTGCCGCCCAGACTAGTTTCTGCAAGCAGCGACTTAATGTTTGGGCAGATATTACCATGTCTGCAGCAGACTTCCACCTGAGGATGTTAAGAGACACTGTGTGCACAGAGGACCCTTCCCCTGGGTCAGGGTCTGGGCAGGCCTGGGACTGGCATACAAAAGAAGACTCGACGGCAGACTAAAAGGGCTGTATGGAGAGGCAGAGGCACATAGACCTCTGGAAGTTTAAGGCCAGCCCGATGTACATAGTGAGCTCCGGGACAGCCAAGGCTACATAAAGTGACCTTGTCTCAAAACATTTTTTTTTAATTTTTAAAGAAAAGGAATTATCAAGATTATCTGAGAATGTCTCGATTGGCCAGCACAGCTTGGTTTTCCCAGGAGAGAGAGTTCTGGATGTCGGCTGAGGGTGCTGCAGTTCCCCATCTGCCCCAGCTGGAGGCACTGTGGGGGAGGGGATGGTCCTGA